GGTAATACAGTAATTAATGATAAAAGGGGAAGTTAAAGTTACGATGATCAATATTTCGATCACGTGATATTACCGTACGTGCCCAATCACGTGATTTGGTACGTGCCCGTAGACCGTCCGTCCAAAGGGCATGCCCTTGTCATGTGATGTTCAAAGTTATTTTAATTGGCTAATAAGTTCAGGTAAAACTAGAACCGTAGATACTAAATCAACATGCGAGATTTTTAAGAAGTTGTGAACTATATGTTAATCACATGATTTAAAAAGGGCATGCCCATGGGCATGAGGGGCATGCCTTAGCTCAGGGGCATGCCCAATTTTTTTCCCGTGCGCATTTCTTTGAAAGGTGACCAGTTATTTACAGTGTACTATTCATCTGATCGGACTTTTATAATTTTGAGATTTATTTTATTAGTTAAACAATATAACCTAATTAAGTATACAAAGAAAAGAAAAAAATAAACAAATTTTAAATAATTTTGGAGTTTTTTATTATTAGATACTGTAGTTTCTATTAAGCAGTATTATAATATTATAATGTATAAAATGAATAATGGGTTTGTATTTATATAAAATATTGTATAAATAGAAAACTTTTTTTAAGACCAAGGTTTCAGTAATGAACAAAAGGTATATAAAAATATATACAACATCACCATCTACCTGCTACGATGTACGGCATCAAGTACTAAGAAATGTACTGTACACAAAATCAATATCAAGATTAAATAGCCATCAAAAAATTACCAAATAAGAGAGTATCTATGCCACCATTATTGAAATGAGAAATAACCTATGTATAACTCATAAAACCAGAATTTGTGTATAAATATAATTGAAATTTTCTATAACATCATGTAAAGCTAAAAAAGAATTTAAATATGATAATATTAAGCTTCACGACCTGCCATCCTTAGCGGTCTTAAATTTGAGTAAAGGAGCAAGATCTGATAGTGGACAGGCTTTTTTAAGAAAGTCATGCTAAGAAAATCAAAGATACGTTAATCAATGATCATGATATAATATGAAAAGAAATTAGAAAATAAAAATAAATTAAAGATTACAAACCTCTAAAAGTTCCAATGAGGTTGCTCTACTCTTAACATCTACACAAAGGCAGACAGCAAGGAAACTTTTTAATTCACGTGATAATTTTTCGGGCTTTTTCAAAGTGGGAGTACCATTTGTAGCAATCAAATATAACGCTTTAAGTGGTTCTTCATCTAAATATGGTGGCTCATTCTCAATCATTTCGATAGCCATAATACCAAGAGACCAAATATCAACTTTGGCACCATATTCTTTTTGTTTTACAACTTCAGGTGCCATCCAATATGGTGTACCAACCATTGTCGCTCGTTTGTTCTTTTGGTCCGTTAACTTGGCGCAGAATCCAAAATCGGCTATAAGTAAACAAAAGATAAATTTATAAAAGTTTGAATTGATAAATAAATAAAAATCAATAAACCAATATATATGTGTGTGTGTGAAGTTGAGTAGGAATTTAACATACTTATTTTAACATGGCCAAATGCATCCAATAGAACGTTATCACTTTTAATATCACGGTGAATAATATTTTGACCATGAAGATGCTGAAGACCTTTACAAGTCTATAACATAAATATAAAAACATAAATATAAAAAAATAATAAAATAATAAACTTAGAAAAATGAATAAAATAAAAAAAAATAAATTTTTGTACCTCAAAGCATATGGCAGCAATTTGATCTTCCTCTAGGGTATTATTATCAATAACATCGGTTAACGCACCACCTTCCATATATTCCATAACAACCCAGAGTTCATTGCTTTTTACTAAAAATGAATCGAGATAATTGACAATATTTGGATGTTGGGATTCTTTCATCACAAGAATTTCATTAACAATTAGTTCTTTTCGTGGCTGATGTGAAAGATCCATTTGTTTTATGGCGACCTTAGCGTTGGATGTGAGAGATTTGGCAACGTATACGGAACCAGAAGCACTAGTTAAATAACAAAAACCAAGATGATTTAGAACATAATGACATAATAAATAAATTTTTTTTTTAGTCAAAATAACAAAAACGAAGAATATAAATAATGCATACCCTTGACCAACTTTTCTGATTTTACTGTACAAGGCTGTAGGATCACCAGGAGAAACAACGGATCTTAATTTTTCCATGATTTGAGCTTCAGTCATTGTGCTAATTCTTTTTTCAGGGGCAGGTTTCTTTGGGGTTGATTGCTGTTGTTTGGCAGGAGGTGGTGGCTGTTTAGGTACTTGAACAGGTTGTTGGGGTTGCTGCTGCTGTTTAGGAGGATTTGGACTAGGAGTACGTTGTTGTTGTGGTTGTTGTGAAGAGGGGGAATAATTTGTAGATTGTTGAGACATTGGAGCTAATGATGGAGGGGGCTGTTGGTAATTATTCGACTGTTGATATTTTTCAGGAACAGATTGTTGTTGAACCTGATTGTACTGTTAGTAAAAAATAAAATAAAATAAAATTTGTTAAAATTTTAAGGAAATATAAATGTCTTAATAGATTTACATTAGAAGAAATTTGTGTTATAGAACTTTGATTTTGAATTGTACGTGCATTATTTGCGCTTAAAGTATTAGGAGGTCTTGGTGTGATCGGAGGACGATTAGGAGGAGTTGTCGGCTGCTAACGAAATGAAAAAATTAATTAAGTAAACAACGACACACGACAGGATGGATAGAATATAAGCGAAATAAAAAATCCAATAAATCTAAGTAATGACATAATCATTATTATGTCTAAAAGAATCAGGGTCTATTCTAACATTGTTTGCATTACTACCCACATTATTTATCGGTGATATCTTGGACATATCATATCCATTAGAACCATCATTAGGGCTAGGATATAATTGATTCTTTTGGGGCATATTATTATTTTTTGGTAATAGGTCAGCCCATTTATCATCAGCATTTGGAAACCCGGCAATTGGTCCTAAGAGGCCGTGTTGACCATATGCTTCTTGTTCTCGTTTTTGATTTTCAGTGTAAAACTCTAATACATCTAAAACAGCTTGAGGATTTTTTGCGTAATCCTCTTTTGTGATCGCCGATGATGTAAGGAGTTTGGTCCATTGCTCTGGCATCCCCTACATAAATTCATCGCGAGTATGTCAATTATTCAATTATTTGAAATAGTCAATATCAGTAATATTGGAAGAAACTTACGGTGAACAAACCACTGACAGGATCGAACCCTACGTGTACATTATGTACAAAGTTTGTTGGATTTGAAACACCACTGAGAGGTGAACGCTATATATTAAGAAAAATGGATTTATTATTATTATTATTATTATTATTATTATTATTATTATTATTATTATTGTTATTGTTATTATACAGATTGATCATAGTCAGTCAGAAATTTAAACGGAGACATCTGCCTAATATTGATAAAATACTATTATGACGTTTATTGATATAATAGTATTATTACGTTGATGTGTTATATTTTTGCATAGTATAAATTCACTCACTCTCACACAAATAAATAATTTTTTTAACACCTTATAAGCGAAACAATTTAAGGAATCATTCGAATTCCTTTAAAGTAGCTTACCGCATAAATTTCATCCATCCATGAGTATAGTTCTTCGTCATTTTTACAAGAAAGATAATAGGTTTTGTCTTTAGTTTGAATTTCGAAACAGTAAGGTTTCAATTCCGTCCGCGAAACACTATTAATCTCTTTAAGAAAAATCAACGCAACGGCTTGATAAGTATTCTGTAATGGCAAAAAATAGCAAAAAAATGTTGAGTTATTTTCTATATAATAATTTTTGAACAAAGGTCAGATGAGTTCAAAAGGCTACCTCGTTACGATGAAACGTAAGGGTCTGTTCTCTGAGTAGCATCCATCGCTTTGACCAAATCCATGCTCTTAAGCCATCCTCTTTCACGGAAATGTATCCCTTTTTAACAACGTGGGAATTGTTATTATTCATTGGGCACTGAAGGACTTACAAGATTCTCGAAAGACGTTGTGGACTTAAATCCAGTACGTATGTACGTACAATTTAATAAAGTTTATTCTCAAGTAATGTAATTCCGTGTTACCAAAAGGTTCTCAAACACATCCTGTATCACCGAGTACATACTTTGAATTATGTGACAAAAAAGGTATCAATTGGTGAATTTATTTGTTTATCAAAAATTATTATAATAAACAAATCTTCATTACTATGTATTAAAATAGTTTTTTTTTGCCTGTGGAAAATTTTATCATTAAAGTTTACAAAATTATAATATTAACACAAATTAGGTTTATAAGGTTGCAATAAAAAACATATGACAAAAAGTAAATAACTTTGAAAATTTTAAACTTATGGATTTCATAATCTAAACCAGGCCCCGGTTAACCTGCATCGATATCTTATCACACAAAGACTTTGATCAAAACGTAATCAACCACACAAATCAACTCAGCCAATCGATTCAGTAATTAATTTAAGTAAATTATATATCATTAACGATGTCTTATTAAGTCTTATTCTTTCTATACAGTATCTTAAACATACCCAGTTATTCTTACCTTTATTAAGATGCGTTATAACCCTTAAATCCATATAATTAATGAAATAATAATATTTTTCATACTTATTTATCGATATTTCACTTAATCCAACCACATTTGCATCTATTTATCTATCGATTTAACTCTAACATGCAAGGTATACAGTTAATATTAAGCTTATTATACGTCAGACGGCATATCTAAAGTTCCTTAAGATTAAACTTACGTATAATATCTAAAACGTGTAATATTTCAGACATCCTTATTAGTTAACCGTTTCGGGAATTTAGGCTTGTAATTACGGCTAGTATAACTATTAATAGTAATAAAATTTGGTTTTGCCTTCCAAATTAAGACTGTCAGTTTTTGGATTTCTTTTTGAATTTCTTTTTAAATAACATTCCCTTCGAAGCTAGAAATGGTTTTTATATAATTTTTTGTGAAACGTTACATAGTTGGAAAGTACTCTAAACTGTATAAATAAGGTACCCGGGCTATTGATTAGGATACCCGATATTACATAATCTACCAACATAAGCTAATACAGTAATATCAGTATAAATCTCGAGATCTGATAAGCTCGCTTCATTTTGGTACGATTTTTTAAAAAATTTTTAATACATATATTTTACTATATATATTGTATATTTTATTTTATAATACGTATAATTTTTTGAGAATCTCTATTGGTACACTATATGTATATGTATACACGAATATTGTTATTTCTTAAAATTTTTACTAATAAAGCTACTTTTTGGGTTTAACAAAAAAAAGATTTCTTGCAAAAGTTTAGTCTTTCTCTAAACTCTAAAACTAACCTAAAATTAAATGGGATTAAATTTTGTTAATAAGATTATATATATATTAATACCCGTGTATACGTATGCACTATATGTAAATTAAGAAATGTTCAATACGTATAATACTATATACGTATATATATAATAATTTTTTTATAATAAATAATTTAGCAAATATATATAATTTAAAATTCTAACATAAAATAAATTATATTTGAGTATAATAATGAATAATATCAAGATTAAAAAAAGTATAGTTCATTTTCTTCAAGGATTTAACGGGCGAATTCTCCTTTTCTTTGATTTTTGCGAATAAGATCAACTACTCTTGATGATATGAATCGTTGAGAGAATGGCAGAAGCAAGAGCAGACTAACGGATAATTAGATCTTCTTGCTCACCAAAAATACTAATCAAAGTCCAAGCTATGACGATAGCACCAGCAATATCATAACCAGCTTTCAAAGTACTGTAAGTATAATAAGCATGGCGATTACAACAACGATTTTAACAAGAAGGGTTGGTTCCTCATCGTTTTCCAGGTACAGTACGAAGATAGTGAAACTGCTAAGAATTAGAATCACGCCGATCCATGCTTAGTATAAAATGAATCAAAAGTCTGTCGGCTAAATTTGAAGATCTATTTGAGTACGATGTAGACGTAGGAAATTTGACAAATGAAAGAATTTGAAGGATTAGATCATCAGCTTCTTAATAAATATTGAACTCAAACAAGTGACGCACCTAAAGTAAAATTAAATTTGAAAAAAAAAAACGATCCAATAAAGCTAACCACAAAGTATGATTACGATAAAGTTTTAGTGGATATCAGGGACCCCGGACGTTGATAGCAAAAATAGTTAGCAAAAATAGCTAGTGAAATTAGCGAATTTAACAAAATAGCTTATTATAAATTTATATTTATTAAGTATAAATTTTAATGTAATCATATGTTTCTTCTGCGAATTCTTTAACTATCATTTCAATGAATTCTCCGGTCATCATCTAAAATATGCATATAATTACTTATGTAAATCAGTTCAGGGACAAGGGTAATAATCATATTTTTAGTGCAAAAGTAGCAAATTTCGCATCTTAGCACAAGTCAATTGCTGCTAGATATTTTGCTAAAAAATAGCGCTATTTTAGATGCTACAAAAATCCGAGGACTCTGGTGGATCCTTCAATAACAACTTCATGTGCAGGTAAATGACTAAGGGAGAAGAAAAATACTACCGTTTGCCACTACATACAGTACCCGGGGTCTTGTCCAAGAATTTCATTTTAATATTGAATAGCACCCGTGGGTACTGTACTATATTTAGGGGATATATCATATGAACAGTAATAAATTAATATAGTTAAACCCCCGAGCACTATTCAAGAATCAAGTCAGGATGGTGATGAATAATACCCGAGCCTTAATCAAGGGGGGTATTATTTTTGGGGATACTGTATGTAGTGGCAAATGGTAATTATGCACCAATTGAATATAAAGAATGAAATAAATTAGAAAGTAATTTAATCATTTACCAATGCCTCCTACATATAAAGTGAATAAGACCCCAAACTCCAAAAATAAAAGTTCCGCTGGAGAGATGTATAATTATAATAAGGATATTGATTCTATAAAATTTGTGAAATACATATATGACATGTTTTTCAACTGTCAAAGAAAGTGTGATAGCAAACATTATGTGTACCTTCCTCGCACATAAGGTCATAACCAACCATCCTCGAAGTTACGCCCTTTGAATAATTTCTTGGAAGTATGATTAAAAGAGGCTGTAACCATACTTTCTTAATGCTTTCGCCTGAGACTTTGTTTAGAATTGCCACGCGTATCTTTCATTAAGAGTGTTTTAACTTTCGCGTCTATTTACTCCAGTGATGGCAAATTAGAGGTCATTTGCCTTTTTTTCAAATGACCTAGGTCATTTCAGGCTAAAATTTATAATAAAATTGGGGTCATTTGAGGTCATTTGAGGTCATTTGAAGGTCATTTGAAGGTCATTTGAAGGTCATTTGAAGGTCATTTGCCATCACTGATTTACTCGGCCAATTATTATTAATTCGACCAACATGATTCATATGTTATAACTGAGGATTCAAAGCCTCAATTTAGGGTCAGATTTAGGGCGTAGTATTATTTTATTTTCGGAAATGTCGCTTTTAACCCGTGACAATATATACAAATGAAATTGCATCTTTTTAACGTTCGACGAGAACGTCAAAAAAAGGTCTTTAAAATCGAATTATGTCACATGTTTGTTTGTGATATAATTTCACCACATGAACATTAATTAAAATAGTTTAAATGAACAAGATTAAAAGTCTTGCAATCCCAATCATTGAATGAAATCATTACAGTAAAGTAGTTAATGATACAAAATACATGTTGTGCTCTTTGTCATAATGAGCGTAAGAAACGATGGTGATAGATTAATTAGTTGATCGTACGCAATAGCATTTATAAATATATGGGATCTTTGCTAGGAAAATCACGGTTCGAGATTTTCCGATCAGGTAATTTAGACCAGAATACGGGTTATTATTTAAACGTAAATCATTTTTACTTTATTGATTCTATAATTTATTTAATAAACTATAGGATAAATAAAGTAAAAGATGGTTTACATGTAAATAAGAACCCGTATTCTGGTCTAAATTAACCTGATCGGAAAATCTCGAACCGTGATTTTCCTAGCAAGGATCCAATATTGCATTTGACTATTATGTTAAGTTACCGAAAATCTGGAAATTATTA